GTAGTTGGGAGGCGGTTGGGTGGGGGGGATGGCGGGGGGGGGGGGGTCCACCATACCCTGTTGGATAGAGAGTTTGATGGATGCAAGTTTAGCTTGGCAAAGGAAGTCCAAATGCTGTCTCATGCAACTTCTTAAGTAATCTAGCAATGCCATGACCAGGGCAAAACAGTCCGGCAAATATCCTGTCTCGCAACCCCCACCTCCCCCACGTCAACGCACCTCCTTGCTGGTAGCCGCCCTGGTAGCCCTGGGGAGGAGGGTACCCGGCGTAGCCCTGCTGGTCATATCCGGGCGGACCTCCTGTAGCGGGGGAGGGCGAGAGTGTGGGTCCTCTGGCGACATTGCATGGAGTGATGTGCATCAACACTGAGAGAGACATGCCAGCATCAAATCAGGGCATGGGCGTCGCTCACCGGCATACTGGGGAGGAGGGTACTGACCAGGATCTGCACGGGGAGGGTGTTCAGACATGCTCGATTGAGGGTGAAGGTCTTCCTGGACACGGCTTGGCCCCCCTGGAAGGAGGCAATACAACAATACCCGACACAAACCCACTTTGCTGAGGGTAGCCTGTGGCGTACTTCTCGCCCTTCCCCTCGGAGGGGTACCTGCATGAACACGGAGGCCCAAGTCAGGCCAAGGGATCTGGTGAGGACCAATCACACGAGAGCAGCTTCCCCCCCTTCCTACCCTTGAGGCCCCTGGTATCCGCCGTTGCCCACTGGAGGGTACCTGCCAGAAAGAGAAAATCGATCATGTTTCAGCAAAAATCATGCCAAGTCAACATGGATACAGATGTGGCTCCACCCAAGGAGTTCCAGGTCTCCAACGTCCGGAACTGGGCAGGTGGCAAGCTTCGAGCTGCCGACGTACCCGGAGGGTGGAGGATATCCAGACATCGTCACTGGACTCTTAAGACGGGGGCTTGTAGACGGGATCGCAACGCTTGCGGGCGGGACGCAGTGGGCGTAACAAGAAAGCTATTCGGGGCTCCGAACGCGGTTGCAAGGGGGAGCTGGGTTGTGGTCAAAGCACTTTTTTCCCGCCTAAAAATCCAGCAGCTCATCTAGCCAGTACTCGACCAGCGACTACCCCTCGCTACATGTGCGGTGACATGAGCATTCGATATATCGCTTGATTATATCTGATTCCTGCAGAGGTGGCATCCCGAGCAGTATCATGTCAGTAACTACACACCATCCAACATGGTTGCATGCCATCAAACCCTGCTGCGAGCGGCGTGCTTATCGTCAATCATGTGGAATATTTTGCCGTAACTTGCATGCTTCACTGAGTCCTCGTAAGAGAAAATCTTCGCAGGTTGGTGGGAATACGACACTTACTTCACAGCCCCATGCTGTGCCGGGTTTGACCCTGGATGATGTCCCCGGCATCGAATCCGATCAGCCCTCTATCTCACCAGGCCCCGACCACCCCCCTCAGGCAGAGTAAGATTCACGAGCTCTCGTGACAATCGACAAGTGCTCGAGGATAGGATTTAGCTCCAATGGCGTGCACCATGCTGTCCTCCAAGGTGAGCATGCACGCCCGCACCAGCCCACACCCCGCATGGGCTCCGCACTCGCCTTCACCCCCTCCCCCTCCCCCCTTCTACCATTGCAGGCCTCCATTTCGGGGGCCCGCACCCTAAATGCCCCACAGCAGACCCGCGCCAAGGTGGCAAAGCCAGTTATCAGCTGCTCCGCCCTGCCCTCCCGGCAGGCCTGTGTGGGACCCGCTGCTGCCGCGGCCCTGGCCCTGGCCCTCGGTTTGGGGGCGGTGGAGCCAGCACAGGCTGACGTGGCAGGGCTCACCCCCTGCTCCCAGAGCAAGGCTTTTGCCAAGAGGGAGAAGAATGAGATCAAGAATCTGAACCGTCGCCTGAAGAACGTGAGTTGGGGGGTGGGGTTGGGAGGGTAGGGGCCGGTCTCACACGCCGGCCGCCCCTGTGCGACCATGCTGCGCGTCCCTCCACTGCCAATCCCTCACCCTCCCTCGCACACACATCGCATCGCGCAGTACGACGAGGGCACCGCGCCGGCGATCGCCCTGCAGGCCAACATCAAGAACGTGGAGCGGCGCTTCGCCGCGTACGGCCGCGGCAACCTGCTGTGCGGCAACGACGGCCTGCCGCACCTGATCGCGGACCCGGGCCTGGCCCTGCGCTACAACCACGCGGGGGAGGTGCTGGTCCCCACCATCGGCTTCATCTACTTTGCGGGCTGGATCGGGTACGCCGGCAGCAAGTACCTGCAGGAGACCAAGCTGGCGGCCAAGCCTTTCAACCGCGAGATCATCATCGACGTCCCCGCCGCCTGGCGCAACCTGTGGGAGGGCTTCCTCTGGCCCGTGCGGGCGGTGGCGGACTGGAGGACCGGCAACCTGCTGGCCGACGATGACAAGATCACCGTCTCGCCGCGCTAGGAGGGAGTGCACCCGGTGGTGGAGGGCCGCTCCGCGCGGCCCTCCCCCACCCGTAGGCAGGCGGCCGGCTGTGTGCTGCTGCTGTACAATCGTGCTGAGAAGAATGCAACATGGGACCAACTGTAAGAAGCGCCCCGCGGGGTACCTGGTCGTCGGCAAACATGTGTTGTGGTCCTCATTCACAAGCATTGTCCAGGTTGAGATGCAGACCTGGGTCAGGTTTCCACGGCAGCAAAACGATGACGAGGATGTCCTCTGCGGCGGCACCGCATGGCGCGGTCCTGGCCCAGTCCCTCGTGACACAGTGGGATTCCTGATCCCATACTCTCTCCATGTATGCTAAGGGTCCTTTGAGGCAGAGCATCTCACAGCAGGTGAGCCATGCGGACGGGGCGCCGGACGGCGTTGGTGTACCCCTCGTGGAAGCAGTAGAGCACCGAATGGGGAGCGGCGCCGTCCTTTCCTCCCACCGTCTGTCGTCCCATGGGACGCTTCCTTTCCTTGAGGCCATCCAGCCAACTCATGCTCCGCTGGGGTTTGAGGGCAGCAGACGGCGCTGCAAATGGGAGAATTTGAAATGGGGGGTTAGGGATTCAGGTTGCTGGACAGGTGATGGGCCAAAGTGCCTACCAGGTGTGATACAGAACGAGAGCATGCCCTGGCATGCCAATGCACCATGCAAACACCCCCCTCCGCACCCGTCTTGGCGAGCTGGAGTCGTTCGGCCAGGGTCAGGGGCACCACGTGTCGTGTGGGGCCAGGGCCCAGCCCCGGCGGAGTATCCTCCCGGGAGGCAGCGACCGCGTCGCTCCTCGCACTTCCCTTGTCCCCGGCATCCAAGCGCCCTGCCTCCGCCCTGCGGATGGCCTCCATGTCCAGTGCCTGCTGCAGGGTCTGCCAGGTGGCGGGGTGGCAGCTCGGGACAGGGCAGGCTGCGGCTTGACCCCGGAACCTGGCCAGCGAGTGCACCGGCGGCTGGAATCGCAAGGTGTGGGCCTGCCTGGGTCGGCCCGAGGAGGATGCCAGGCCTAGGGGTCCCGGGTGGGGGGGGGAGAATGTCGGCTGTGGGAAGTGTTCATCTGGCTGCCGGACAGAGGAATCAAACCCCTGGCAATGACCCCTAGGATGCCCTGGTCCGGGTCCAGCAGCACGTCCAGCGCAGGGTTCCCAGCCATTCGTGGCCCCCACCTCCCACAGACAGCTGAGCCCCCTCTGGATCCCACTCCCGCCCGCACCCTGATGTGCCTCCCGCTCCTCCCCATCGGCATTCTCATCCTCGTCGTCCTCCACTTGTGGGGCAGGTTTCAGGCCGAGGGCCAGCATCAGGGCCACCACCTGGTTCAGGGCTGCTGACTCAGCGCTGCTGAACAGCCGCAGGCCCACAGGGCGCAAAGGGGGGGCGGTGACTCTCCCCAGCATCGGTGCGATGTCCTGCGGGAGTGCGGATGGTGATGGATGAGCAGATGCAATGCGCAGAAAGCCGTGCATAAATGCCCATGTGCCTGCAGATGATGTGGGGTTCTCCCAGAGACACCGCATCCATCTAATCCAGGTCAGAAGGCCCCTGCAGTGCTCTGCTGTGGCAGTCGGCAGCTGCTGACAGTGCCTTGGCTGCGACGCAGCTGAAGGCCTGGTCGATACCCGCCAGCTTTGACTCACCAGGACCAGGCTTCGGGGGGCATGGCAGGCGGCACCCAGCGGCGACATGGCACACCGCCAGGCTCTGAGCAGCGCCGCCTGCCCCGCCTGCTTCCGCCTTGCATCCGCTCCGCTCTTTGGCCACACCATGGCAGGCCTGTGCTCAGAAGGGAGGGCACAGGGGATGGGAAGAGTGGGATGGATGGCTGAGCAGGACTGCTGGCCAATTGGCCTCAAGGCCACGTGCACAGTGTAAAAGTTGTCAAAGATTCCACCCACAGGGCTGACCCTGCCTTGCATGGCCTGATCACACCCATGTACCTTTCCAGGCCTCTCCAATGACTCCCATCCCAGCACCCACCTCTCGACGCTGGTCACCTCCCCTGCGGCGGAGAGGAGGGCAGCAGGCACATACCGGGCTGCGCCCCAGCTACCGGAAGCATAGCAGCTGCCCAGGAGCCTGTCAGCGTCGCAGAGGGCAAATAGGGCCCAGGCGGTTCTGGAGCATGCCAGGTCAAAGTAGCGGAGGGACAGGAGGTTCTCGTGCACGCCACTGTGCGAAGATTGGAGAGAGCCAGGGTTAAAGGGTCGGGGCAGGCTTGGGGGAGTGGGGCTGCCGGTGCCCCTGTGAAATCCTCAGATCATGGGTCCCCAGCAACTGGACTTATGGCTGCTCCTGAAGAACTGATGGAGGCATGCATGTACAAGCCAAAGGCACGAGGAGCAGGGGCTGCAGCACCAGGCCCGTCACCTCTCCCTGACCCCATCACTGGGCACAAGCTTTATCACACCTGAGGACCAGATCGTGCTCCCCAAAATCTTGCAGCAGGGTTAGCAGGCGAGACTGTCGCGCTGCAGGTGCCTCAGACGCCCTCCCAGCAATGGCGGCCGGCGGCTGGTGGGGGGTCCCCGGGGGCGGGAGGGTTGAGGCAAACACATGTCGGCTTCCCCTGCATCACCAGCGCTCAGGTACTGCAGGGCGGATTCAGCCAGCCTCTGGACCTGGACAGTTTCCATGGAGCGACGCCGCTCTTAATGCCCCTCCACCCCCCTCCCTCACCTTGTGTTGCAGCAGGTCCTGCCACACCGTGAATGCACCCTTGGTGACATCCTTTTGACCCAGTGACAGTCCCTTCAAGTCCTGCAACCGCACATGCGTCTGTCTGCTGGCCAAGAACTGGGCTCCGGGGGGGGGGAGATGGGAGGGGAAGGTTTGTGGTGGGGACACGAGGCTAGGAATCGAGTACGGTGGAGAGGCTGTGTATCCAGGCGAGTGCGCCTCGGCATTAGTTTTTGAGGACTTGATCCTCTCTCAGCATCAGAAGCCGCCTGTTCTTGTTTTGTCCGGCTGTGCGTGAGGATGCTGCAGGCGCATTCCCTTTGCCTTCCCACCACTTCCTTTCCCCCACCCCCTCTCCGGGGCCACCTGCAGCGTATTCAGGCACGAGCGCACGTCGCACTCCGCCATCTCGGCCAGCGTGCGCAGCGTGCTCTTCTCGCACCGCAGGCCCTCGCAGGCGCAGAGGTAGGCAAGGCGCTGGGCCAGCCTCTCCGTCTGCATGGTAGGGAGCGGGCGGAGGGGTGATCAAGGTCCTTCACGCTAAGACAGTCAGTGACAGAAGGGTATGCCATGAACCCCATGGACTATTCCCCACGAGATAGTCATCATCGCACGGAAGCCCACACATGCCGTGACAAGCACCCTTCCTCGCCGTATCAGATCATCCCCACCTCCTCACCGCCATGCAAATCCACATCCAGCCACCCACGCTCCCACACGCACCGTGGGCTTGCGGAAGTGGAAGACTCGGGCGACGTCGCGTAATGGGCGCAGCGCGGGGCAGTACAGGTCGTTACAGATGGCGATGATGGGCCGCAGCAGGGGCCCCGGGGCCTTCCCGCGCCCCTTGGGCCGCTTCTCCGGCCCCGCAGGCGCTGGGTGCTCCTCCCCGTCACTCTCGCCGTCGCTGGACGCCGCGTCGGCGGCCTCGTGGCTCGACCTGGACCCCGCCGCCCCCGCCCCGGGGACGAGTCCCCGCCCCGCCCGCGCGACGGGCGGGGCCTGCACTATGCGCAGCAGGGCGGCGATCGCGCCCGCGCCCTCGGCGCCGCCCAGCGCGCCGTCGATCTCGTCCACGACGATGCAGTTGGGCCGGCGGTCGGCCAGCACCGAGCGCATGGTGGCGGCCGCCGCGACGCGCGGCCCCAGCGCCCCCGCGCTCCGGTCGTCGCTGGCGTTGATCTCCAGCGGCCGGTAGCCGCAGTGCACCGCCGCCACGTGGGCCAGCGTGGTCTTGCCCAGCCCCGGGGGGCCAGCCAGCAGGATGATCTTGTGCTGCGGGCGGCCCAGAGGGTCGGGCGCGGCGGCCGGCCCCATGCTGTTTGCGCCGGACCTGGCAGCCGGGGCCGGCGGCACCGCGCGCCCAAACACGCAGGCATCCCACTCCTTGAGCCAGCGCACCACATCCCTACTTTTTTTGGGGGGGGGGGGGAGGGATTTCGAGGGCACGGAGAGGTCGATGCGGATCTTGTGCAGGACTGGCCGTCATTCACAAGATCAGCGCCCCCTCTTCACCCGACTGGCATCTGTCTTCAGCCCTGCAATTCACCCCCCAACCCCTCTTTTCCCCTCCTCCCCTCCCTCCCCCCCACCAACGCACACAGCCTCCACCACCCCCGGCCAGACCTGTTGATCTGCTCCGCGCTGAGGAGGTCCATGAAGGCGGTGGGGGCATACTTATCGGCCCACAGCGTCCTCGGCTTCTGAGCGGGCCCCGCCCGCCTGGCGGCCGGCGCGGCCCCCCCCCGCCCAGACACCGAAGCCCGCCTGGCTCGCTCCACCCTCCCCGCCTCGATGTCCTGCAGGAGGAGGGAGTAGGGCCGCGCCAGCAGCGTGCCCGACCTCGCCTGCAGCGCCGCACGCCTTTGCACATAGGGGGAGGGGGGGGGGGGTAGGGGGGATGATGTCGAGTCCTGTTCCAGAGGTTTGTGGAACCCTGTCTCCAGAGGTGCGGCATCCAGGCCGCTCTCCTCTCCGGGGCGTCTGGCGCCAAGGGCACATCTCCCAAGCACCCAGCGTCACCACTCTCTCCCACGCAAGCTGCATGTGCTCCCACACCGTCCGCAGCTCACCCTTGTCCAGTGTTCTGCACATCCTCTAGGCTGCAGTACGCTCGTTTCCCGCTGCCATCCGTGACTGGCATGACCTGGCCTGGGACGTCTAGGGCATTCAGGGATGGCGGAATGTGGGGACGCAGGGGGATGAGGTTCTCCTCGCCCTCTGGTCCATGGACTGGTTTTCTGCCAGCGGCCAGCTCTAGCGTGGCTGCGGCCTCAGTTGCATCAATGCCTGCCGATTTAAGGAGGTGTAGAGGTGATGTGGGCTATAAGCGAGTATACACGACAGAGGAGTCCCCTTTGAGCAGGGCATATGCACTTCCTATCCGCCTCTCGTTGTGAGTACAGTCATGAGTATCCTGAACCAAATTCCTAGGTGCCCTGTCTTCCATTGCAACTTTGCACAAGAACCCCACCTGCATCCGCAAGCAGCTCCTGGGCTTCAGCCTCAAAGTCCGGCTGTGAGGCGGGGGTGCAATCCCCCAGCATCTGCAGCTCGCTGGCAGTTACGTCATGCAGCCCCGGTGCGATCTGGGACTCTGGCAGCCTCTCTGCTGCCAGGCGCAGGAGCTCATCATCATCCAGCTCGCCCTCCGTGAAGGTGGTGAGGCTCGATGCAGCTCCCCCGTCAGGCACCCAGCGCCCCCTCTTGGCCTCTGGAGATAGAGAGGGCATGGAGCTCGATTTGTGAGCTGCGTCTGCGAGTCACGTGCTCATCAAGGAATACCCCATCCCTCATGGCATACAAAAACTCTGCCTGTCCCCATAATAACTAGCTGTGCATCCGTGCAGGCACAGGGCACTACCCACCTGAGCTGGAGCCAAAGGCCAGCTGGCGGACAGGGCAGTCACGCTTGTTGCTCCCTGCAATTAATAAGTTGTGAGCTTGGGCGAGGGTGAATATCTGATTATAACGCCTGCGACTGCAGCTGCAGCACCTAGCTGCGCTACTTGCCTACATGCACGCTGGATTCCTGCCGGAGTTCGTCCTCCTCTGCCAGCAGGTCGGCCAGCTCCTCCTCGAAATCCATGACGCTCCCACTGATTCAATCAGGGGTCGCACTCTCTTTCTATTGAATACAAGTGCTCGCTTGCATAGAACATGCTGCGGCCTCCTTTAGTGTCCTCAGCCCCTGCCTGATCTGATCTGGCGAACCCCTGGGGTTTGAAAGTGAGGACGCTCCCCGTGTCCCGCGCGCGGTGTCACGAGGACACCGACGACCTGTCCAGGAAGGCGAAGAGGATCTGCCTTACCATTCTCGCACCCTCCCTCGCTGATTCTGATTGATTGTATGCAATGATAGGGCGGCATTGACATCACTCAGTATGGCGGACACCCTGTTCGGCTACAGCATCCCCTTCCCTACCTACGACCTGTACGTGGCTATCACCGCCGTGGCGCTGTACATCCCGAGCATCATTCTTGTCAACTACCTTGCAAACAAGGGGTTGGACCTGGTGTCTCGCAAGCCCAAGACAGCATGATCAGCCAGGTCTTTGTCCTCTCACCTCGGGGCGACTGTGTGATCTTTAAGGACTTTCGTGGCGATGTGCCGAAGGTGGGACTCTGACTACGTACGCCTGGTCTTGAAATGCTGGTTAGAGGGTTAGCTGCATGGCTGGGTTTCGGATGCATGGCTGGGTGTAGGATGCACGGGGGGCTGGAAGACCAGGAGCCTTGTGTGTGACTGATGCTTGGAATGGGAGGAGCCTTCATGCCCATCACATCCCCCCCCCCCCCCCCCCCGGGGCCCGCACAGACCACACCAGAGGCATTCGGCCGGAGGGTGCAGGCGAGCCGTGCGGCAGGCTCGGATCTGCCCCCCGCCGTCGGCATCGACGGCGTCCAGTACCTGCATGTGAAGGTGAACCCTGTCGAGGAGAGTGTAGGATCTTCAACAGACAAGAAGGCTGGGGTGGCCTTGAATTCCTCTGATACAGATGATGTAACAGACCGTGACACCCTTACTTCCTGCTTCTCAGCTTCCAGCTCCTCTCCATTTTTTCCGGACTGTGCTCAGCCCCCAAACCCTGCCCCACCCCAACCTGCTCCGCCTCTGCCCCACCCCTCCAGGTCGGGGACCTGCTCTGGGTGGCCACCACCCGGGTTAACCTGTCCCCCTCCCTGGTGTCCGAACTGCTCCTCCGCATCACCGTCATCTGCCGCGACTACTTTGGCCAGGTCACGGAGGAGTGCGTGCGGCGCAACCTCCCCCTCGTCTACGAGCTGCTGGACGAGGTGATGGACTACGGCTTCCCCCAAAACTCCTCCACCGAGCGCCTGAAGCAGTTTATCGCCATCCAGCCCCAGGCGGCGCGCAGCCTGCCCCCCGGCGTCACCGGCGTGGCGGGGGGAGAGGCCTTTGACCGCCCCGCCGAGGTCATCAAGTCGGTGCTGGACACGTCCCGCACAGGTGGGATGGAGTGGGGGTGTGCAGTCGAGATGAGGGAAAAGGTGGGGGCTGGGGGCGATGGCTTGACCTGCGTGACATGGAGGATGTGTCGACCCTTTGTATGAGTGCCGCACGCCTGCCGCGTGGCGCGCGACGCGACCAGTCAGACATCCCTGTGCGCTTGCATGGTGCGCGGCGCCAGTGCCTCGCGCCCG